AGACAATCAACTAGTGCTAAACTGTCCATGTTGTCTGTTGATGTGAAGTGTTTTGCCACATATTTTGAGTTGAAAAAAGTATTTTTGAAAAGTAAAATGACAACTCAAATCTTGCATATTTCAGAGGCAAAAAGTACATGAGAACTTGGGCAAGCATATGGAAAGTCAAAAAGTGACGAAGAAAAAGCAAGGGACACTCAATCCTTTTTTTTATCTGTAGAAAGATCAGACAACCAATTAGCTGTCTGCAAACTGCAACCTACTCGAGTTCATAGTTCAAAGTCTGATGTTCTAGTCATTGAAAAAGCTTCAAAGTGAGACAAAATATATCTCGCTCTCCTACTTCATGCAAAGACAAAAGAGTTTTGTTCCACGAGCTTGCATGCAAAGAGGTCAAATTTGAAGGAATAAAAAGTCTACCATTTTCATTACCAAAAGAGATTATTTGACTATCATCTCTTCCTAGGATATTTATGAGGGTATACACATGTCAAATTTCGTCTCTTATGGTTAGAGACATGTCTTTGAATATGTCCAAATTTGTTTGACCCATTGGAAGATTGTTTTATTGATTTTTTATTGGCCAAAGGAAATGTTGTATATTCTATATATACATACTTCCTATGTTTGTTTTTCTTCAAGCTTTTCATCATTCATTGAGAGAGAAACTAGGAGTGAGTTTCGTGAGCTTAGAACTAGAAACTTAGAAAATTTCTTCTCATCAATATTTCCTTATGAAAAGTTGAACTCCCATGGTGTAATAAGTTGAGTCATACTTCTTGTTGAGGGGAGTGTACTCTTTTATTTTGAGGGATTTTTGTTGTGAGGTTAGGCCATATTTTGAGTAGAAAATTATGTGAAGATTTTATCTATAACTTGGGTCTAAACCTGGTCGAAGTTGCTGGAGATTCGAAGCCAAAAATCAAATCCTGAAGGGATCGTGTTGTCTATTGTATCGACAAACCGCCGAGTGTTTGGCTGGTGCAAAGGGGATTCCAAGGAGAGTTGAAGGAGGAAATGGGAAGCTGCCTACACCCTCATCTCATCTCGAAGCACAAGCCAACGAAGGTTGCGACCTTGCACACTTGCCTTTGCATGTGGTAGGGAAACCAATACATTTTAGTTGAGTGTTTATGGCTAGAGATTTGTGGAGTTTGTGTGAGGAGTTTTTTATTTTGTTTATGTCTTACTCATAGTGGAATCGCCCTCGGTTGGTACCCCCAGACATAGGCTGCTAAGGGCCGAACTGGGTCAACAAACTTTGGTATGTTGTTTGTTTCGATTCACTCTGCACTGCACTTCTTATTGCTTGTTTGTTGTTCGAATCTCAAGCAAACAACATCACTCTAAACACAGCAAACCTTTTGAGTTTGCATTCTATTCCGCTGCATCGTTCAAGAGTAATCAAGATTGGAGTTTAAAGTGTAAAAATATATCTAGTGGGACCGTCATTATTATTAAGGATAAAATAGTAATTTTAGTTGAAACGTGCTTCTGCTTATTTCAGAAGCTACCCTAAATGTATTTTTTAAAAAAACACTTTTCATCCTAAAAAAACTGCTTCTACTTTTGGACAGAAGCCAATACGATCAAATACAAAGTGTTTTTTAGAAACAGAAGTCAAAAGCCGCTGCCAGAAGTCAATCGAAACTAGTATGAACGAATATGGGTTAGAAGTCCCCAAACGCAAGCAATTGTTGTTAAACTCGGTAATCAACTTCTCTCATCATTGCAAATAACGACTATTGCAGTGTGTTTAGTTCAAGGATTTTGGCAAATTTTACTACATATTAAAAAAATTCTGAAAATATCAAATTAAACATATATTTATTTATGTTATACTAATAATTAATTCTAAATTCAAAAAATCAACTAACACTTATTTTATCATACTACTTATTCAAATTCAATTTTTTATTCAATTTTTTTTACTATTTAAAATTCAAACTCCCAACTAATAACACTTGTCTCGCACTATGCAGCATTGAGTTTTGCTCGTATGTGTAGTATTTTGGGAGAATTCATCAGTGGTACATTAATAAGATTGCAAATCTTTTTATAAAAGAAGTACAAAACGAATATATACAAAAAATATATATAGAAATATATATATATATATGTATAAACAACGATTGTTTGATAAATACATTTGTTTGCCATATATATATATATATATATATAGGGAAACATTAATGGGAGATAGATAAAAATATAATTGAATATAAAGCTAATAAGCTGTAGGCACAATGCAACTTAAGATTTGTGCTCATTATAAATGCTCTTAATCTAACAACTAAAGTCAACAATTTCACAATTCTTTTTTCATCATTCTTTGTTAGTTGGTAAAATCAAAATTTTCGATTTGAATATATAGTATAACTATATAGCTAAATATGATGGGTAAATAAATCTTTAATGAAGACTAAAACCAAAAATACTAAAACACTTGTGTTGGTACAAAACTTAAAATAAGATGATCGTTCACACACCACAAAAGTATCACATACGCGCGCTTATTTCAAGCATACACAACGTCAATCATGTTCATGATCGAACATTAGCTTAAACACAAACAATGCATAGAAAGGAAAAGATAACGAGTAACTAAAATAGGCGCCGCATGGATATATCTTGAACTCACGCGGTTCCATTTTTTGTCTTAGCTCCACAACAAAACAAGCAAAGTCTCGGAGCACAACCACAAGCACATTCACAATAACATTGGTGTAGCTTCCTATTGTTGCTCTTAACCAAACCCTTGTCCGAGAAACCATCATGAATCATCGTGTCATTAGTATGACGAGCCAAAAACAAGGGATGATCATTCGATGCATGATTTGCAACATCAAATGCAATAAGAGAAAGGGGATTGACACTAAGGTAGCTCCAAAAAGCAAAGCCCATTATCAACAATGCAAGTGACAATGGCATCGCGCACTTTGCCCTAGTCGACGTCATGGTGACAATTAAGTGTACTTAATTATCCGGCTCGGTGATGATGTTCGAGTAGTGAAATGTAGCTTGTTTATATAGAGTTGTGGCAAAGATTCTTTAGATGCCTTATTTTTGTCTAGTGTGAAAGAAACAAATATTGTGATTTGGAATGAGAGCGATGTTTTCCTTTTATGGTCGCAATCTTGAATTTTCAATAATTATTTTTTACTTTTACACAATTATTTGTTGAATATGTTTGATCATGAAAGACAAGAGGATGAAAATTTTAATTTAGCCGTCTAATAGGAATATATGTATCTTCAAACTCATTGTAATAAAAAGCATATTCAGATTGGTTAGGTTAAATTATGTTTGTTATATATAAAACAGTTTTTCATGTCCAAACAAAATTGAATCATTCAACATTCTTTTAATATTTAAGTATTATTGTTTAATTATCTAGACTAAATTCAAATTTATTCATATTTTGATAATACTAGAAAATATAAACTTCTCTTCTTATAAAAGCTCGAAATATTTTTACACTAAGATTTAAAAAATAATACTACATCCGCCCACGTTGCAACAATTACATTTATTTTTTTTTATTAATATTTGAATATTAATTATTATATAAATATAGTAGAAATCATGGAAAAATGGCAAAAACAAAAAGTACTTATATAATGACATATATATAAAAAAAATTATACAAATATAAGAATATTTTTAATATTGAGTACAATTACGCAAAATAAATATAACTCTTGCATGCAGACAAAAAGAGAATATTTTATATTTTTTATAAATGTAGAATTAGAATTTTATAGTATTACAATGTAATTTTTTAGACTAAAGTAGAATATATATATATATATAAGAAATTTGTGGAGTCATTGATTGTGTAAATAAATAGAAAGTTAGTGGATGAAGTCACATAAAGATTTAATGAATAATGATACTTCCTTCGTCCTGGACATAAGTATAAATGTAATAGTATTTATAATGTAACATGGAATTTATACATATTAAAAATGAAATGAATATTTTATATTTATACAATAAAAAATAGCAAAATGTATACCTATCAAGTAGACTGAAGAAATACTTATGATATGAGCATATTTTATGTAGACAAACTAAAAAATGATAAAAATAAACAAATTTTTATGAGACGGAAGCGTATATTGTATACAAATAGCAACTTTCTAATTATTCCAGTAATTTATTGTAATAAAATTTTAAAAGAAAGTAGTGTAATGAGAGAGACTGGAATAAAAATATTAGGCCTTAGTTTCATGTAATAAAAGACTAAACATATTCGATCATGCGAAAAATGGCCCTAAAACTCATATATATGAACTTGTCATTTGTCTCTTCCAATTTATAGTTAAACTCATGCTTTGTGATGGAGTCTATGGCGGTTTTGCATTACAATCGCAAATTTTTAATATAATTAGTTTTACTTGTTAATATATATATATATATATATATTTGTGAGAATGAAAATGTTTGAACATGGAAGCCAAGAGGGTAAAAAGTTCCAGCCGTCCAATTGGAATCTTCGTAAATCTCTGTACAATTAATTGTGCATATCGGGAACTAAAATTGGGAAACCCTAAGTCCATCGACCAACTCCATTTACGCCATTAAAACTCCAAAAATGTAATTACTAGTAATTTTACTCAATCCATAACTCTATTTTTTACTCCAAAAATAATATTCTTCAAATATTTTATTTTATATATTATTTTAAACTACTTTTTATATCTATAATTAATATTTTTTTATAAAAAAATTTAAAAATAAATAAATTAATTAATATACAAATTTAAAAAACATATATACACACAAGAAGGTTGAAGAGTGACAACTCCATTTATGGGGTTGCAATTGAAAATGGCCTAACTAGACTAAAATTATAATCATACTACCCTCAATATTTCTTTACTATTGATTATTAAAACATTCGATATAATAATTCTACCATTTTTCCTTGTCAAATTGAAAAGAATAAACACGAGATCACGCAACTATTTTTTAATACACTCTAGCTAAGTATCAGAAGTACAAACTCGTAACTTTATCCACCCCATACTACTGACTTCAACAATAAAATTTTGATGGCAGGAAAATATGGTCAAAGCCTGCCTAAAAAACATAGCCATCAAAGTTCTTGTCTTAGCTGTTTTTCTTTATATCTAAATGAACAATTCAGATTCTACATCACCCACATCAGTCCTAATTAACCAACAATTCATAGTACAACAACAAAAAAGTACAAATACAACAAGAGAAACAGGAAAAGCATCTAGCCACAAGTGACCATTCACTATCAATATACAAAAATAGCAAGAGCTCCCATCTCACTGTCTATGGATAGGCGGGGTTGGCGGCTGATGGCTTTGTCCATAAAATCCCACTCCAATGGGCCTAAAGAATCCGCCACTTGCAGGTGGCTGTGGAGGTTGTGGTGGCTGGGCTGACTGCAACTGAGACTGCTCGCCGCCCTGTGGCTGTTGTGGCTGTTGTGGAGGGCCTGATCTGGCAAGTCCCATGGCCGGATTTGAAGGTAGTGGTAGCTGTAAGTTGCTTGAGCTGTAGCTGAAAGGCAGCCCCATCATATTAGGCTGGACAAACTGATTGGCCGGGGCAGTTGCCGGAGGCGCAAGTGGCAGTGGGAGCAGGGGAGGTGGGAGGAATGGGGCAGGTAGGTTGACCTGGGAAGTAGATTGTGTAGGGCCCGACATCATATTGGTCAGAAAATAGCCGTCGTTGTTCCCGGGCATGGGTGGCTCTACCCTCGGTCTTTTCAGACCACCACCAGTCATGGATGCAGCAGCCTCTTCTGCAACAAGGGACGAGAGGATGGATGTGAGCATCTGTGCAGAAGATGTTGATGCGGCCAGCTTTGCAGCAACGGCGGCCGCAGCTGCTTTCTTGCTCTCCTCCTCGCCGGATTTTGTAAATGTCATTGACGGCGCAGACATTGTGGTGGCAGTGATTGCTGTTGGGGAAAGGCTGAAAGTGGCCTCGGCCTGCTGTTGGGCCGCAGGTGGAGGGGCAGATGAGGTTGATGTTAGCTGGAGACGAATATTACTTGCTTGCTCGACCTGACCGCGTGCAACCTGCACATTGTATGATTGTGTAAATAGGGAGAACCGTTAGTGAAATATAAACAAGCTGAACACAAATCAATACTATTCGGCCTGCACGATTCCCTAGAAAAATACATTATTTTCTGTAACAAAATATTACATCAAAATACTAATCAAACTAAAATTTAAATAAAAAAACTCAAGTTCAAATCAAAACCAAACAAACTAGGAATCACATACAATGCATAGTTTTACAGCGTGAAAATACATGGTTACATTAGATGCAATATCATATATACCTAGCATTGTCACATAGCCTAATGTGTCCCTTTAAAGGTGTCACAGACTCACGGCAGTATACAAATAAAGGAAAATAAATAAAACTAACCGTTTTTTGCAAAAACAAGGACAAAATTCAAAAACAATTTTCAATGCATTTTATTATGAAAAGGAAACAAGTGCTCATGTTCACCAACGTGCATCTTCACACCATAGGACACTAGACTAGTGCAAGCTTGTTGTGACATGCACCATACACAAACAATATACCCAGAAATGTGGGTGCTAAAATTCAGCTTAGATGCTTAATGTATTCCCCTTGAAGAAAACGATAAACTTACAATTACAATAAAAACAAATGATTTCTCTCGAATGATGATAAAAATAGAAATTGAGCAAGCAAGCAATTCATTAAGAGAGAGCTTACACGTATCTTATCCCAAATCTGCTCCAGCTTCGACTCCTACAAAGTTACAATTTGTTAAGGGTTTATAGGTCACCAATTAAAAAATTAACTTATGCACCCATCAATGCTTTCGGAATGAATTTACAAACTACATTACATCAAAGTATTTGTATATAAGGATCATGTATACATATTCCAATTTAAACAAACAAAACGACGATCTGAAAGAAGCGAAAGCTACACAGTTGATATATATATATATATATATATATAGCCACTCATCACGAGAAACCATTTTGAGGGATTGAAAACCACCACTAAAACAACCATATCCAATGAAATAACTCGGAATGTATAATCTGCAAAAATTAAACCATACTTGCTCCTGAAGTGCTTCCCTAAGATGGGAAAGAAGGGCAACTCTAATTGATTCAGAATTCTCGAGGTCACTGATGCATTGTGAAATTATATTCTCTTGTTTCTGTATATTGTCCACAATATCAGACACATCCAAGCTTCCTAAGGATAAAGGAAGATCAAGATTCAAGGTTAAAAGAGACTGTGTAGTAAGTAACTAAATAAACCTTCAAAACCTACGTTGTTATTAACATCAGCTTGTGTAAATTACCATGTTGAAGATAATTCAGTGAGAAGATAATGATGCGCACATTATGTAAACAGTAAATCCTGACAAACCTTGTGAAGCAGTCAGAACATCCTTCGCTATTTCTTGTACACAAGAAACAGCATCATGGAATTTGTTCAAGGCCGAATCTTCATTGACAACACCATCGTACACCGAATGGAAAGCAGTTAGAATTTTTTCTGGCAAACCTCCAACAGCCAATTTCTAGATTCAAGAGAACATTGTAAGATCCTACTAAGCAGTACAACATCACCAATTAGGTCAACAAATCAGCAGAACATGACAGCAATACGGTCACATTTTACTTACTATTCTCAACGAGGTGGAATCTCTTTTCACCACCTTGATAGGATTCGGAGATTTTACAACGTTGATGATTGGAGTAGGATTTTTCCCCAGCAATTCATTTTTCAGGTTTGCACCCCTTGAACCAAAAACCTTTCTCTCTTCCCATATATCAATCTGATACAATGCACATAATGCCCACAGGAAACCACCATTGGAGGATATTAGAGAGCAATAAATGTCACCCAAACAAAGACAAGAAAGTAAGATAAACACATGATAAAACACAAGCAATATTCATGAATTCTACCTCCACTACAACTTTATTCAATGCTGAAATGATTTCAGGAGAATGAGAAGTTTATGCATAAGAAAAAGTGGCACAAACTCAGACAATATGAAGCCGTATAATGCAGAGCACACAAGAAAAAAGAAAAATAATGTTGTGCGATGAAATTACCAGTCTGGAGGCAACTTTTCTGCTATTCTCATCGCCATTATTTAAGAAAAGTTTGAGAGACGCTGGTAGAACTTTCCAGAATTCATTTACAAATTCACTGCCCTTGCGCCTGCTATTCTGCATGATGTCGTTGGACAGATACAATAATGAAACTTGTTGTTCATGTTGAACGGATTTGAATATCTTATCCCATGTTTCAACAACTGGCTTGGCCTTCTTTCTATGGGATATGCACCATCGAGACAAAGCTGATGATATGTTAAAAGAGAACAAACAATTGAATACAATTAATAAGTGAATAGAAAAATGCACATCAAGTCACTTGAATACACTTACAAGATGTCGATCCAGATGAAATCAATTGCTATTAAAATTATCTATTGCTATTAAAATTATCAACTATTATAAACACAAACAAAGCACCATAAAATGCACCACCAAGCTAAACGCTAGTCTGCATCAGTGCACCCCTTTGGGGCACTGAAAATGTCTTTTTAAATTCTTTATTGCTATTGTATGAATTTGCAGAATAATACAATTATCTATTACAGGCAAAAAAAAAATTATAACTCAGCCCCTTGTCATAAATAGATGGACCACAATATAGATCTAAATGCTACACAAGCCAGTGACTCGTGTCCATTCCTGACAAATTTAAAAACAAATGTATAGGTGATACAATATTTATGTCAAATGTATATACCCACAAGTAACCCAATAGCTATATTTCAATAAAAACAATTGCACCAATAGAGTGCCAAAAGTTATAAATCAAAATATACCTGCATTTATATGTATATACCCACAAGTAACCCAATAGCTATATTTCAATAAAAACAAATGCACCAATAGAGTGCCAAAAGTTATAAATCAAAATATACCTGCATTTATAATGACAAAGATTAAAAAATCAAAATATATTTCTATATAAAATGCCTTTCTAGTTTTTCCTTCACTTGTTTTCTAACCTGTAGCATATTTAATCAATTAAATACTACACAATAAAATGAGAGACTCTGGCAACACCCTCCTCACATTTCATTTTATTTGATCAAGTCACATTTTTCATGTGATCTGTAATGTGAACTCAACTTCGCAATTAATAGTATGTAAACAGAGTTTTTCCAAAATAATATTCATGGTTTTTTCATATAAAGTGAACCACTTAAACTTAGGTAAGTTAGGTAATATTTTTGTTGCTGGTTACTATCTTGTTTTACATTACAAACTAGCCACTTATGTTAAGTGGCGAGATTATCTTCCCCTATTGCCTTGCAATCTTTTTAAAGCTTTCTGCATTTGTAGCTGAAAATTAATTTATACGCAAGTACGTGTCATCTGGTCCTCATCTCTTCTGTATATGCAATGTGCAATTTAATAAATTTTATGTATAGTTTAAACAATCATCTCTGCATAAATAACAACTATTAAATCAGCCATTCGTATATCCAAATGATAATGCATCATCTAAGATGCTTCCACCCTTTTTATTTCACATTATAGCCCTTATGTAACACATCCTACTCACCAATACCTCACCTCAAACACATCTAGTACTATTTCCTATTTTGTGGGATAATCTAGAACAGTCTCTAGGTCTTCCAAGATTATTGTCCGGCAGATTCATCTAGTTTCAAGGACTATTATTATTAGCCTGTATTCCTCTTCTCTGACTACAAGCTGTTTCAATAAATTAGGATCCATAATATACCTATCACACACCTAGTTGTTTTCCATATACCATTGTAGTATCTAATGAAAAAAAAAAAAAAAAGGATTTAACACTTGGCACCTACCCATTTAACTTCCTAAAGGTACATAAAACTTCATCCTTCCTCATAGTACTAATAATTTGATCAAAATTGACATTCTATATTGAAACTACCAAGCCTATAAGTCTATAATTATATCTCATACGGCTTTCTTTAAAATACCTTTCATTAATGTAAGGATACTCTTGCCTATTTTGCACTACACCTGGCTTATGAAGCAGTTATTGTCATGCAACACAGTTTGCAGTTGCACACACACCATAAGGTAGGGAGTTCCTAAAAATTTATACTCTGTTCTACACAATCACTATCCGAAGTTTGATAAAATTTCATCCTAGTTGTCAATATATCATAAACCTCCTCTATCCAATATTGTATGTACATGTAATTATCACATTTAACATGTAAGAAGGCAATCAAAACTAAAACATTTCATTAGCTATATAGAATCAATATATTTGTTAGTTGTCTTAGAGGTAAATTCTATGAAAAGAGATTGTAAAATTCTAACCAAAACATATAAAAAAACAAAAACAATTTTCTAACTAGTGCCAAGCACATCTCTGAGGATCTTCATGAACTACTCATGCAGAACAACTCTGAGTTCACAATCAATTTCTCAACTCTTTATGTTTCCTTTGAACTTTGAATAAAGAGTAGCCTTACATTCATACAAAACTAATAAGCAATACATATAGCTATAGACTTCAATTACATGAAGACACTTCTTTAACATTGCAATGAGATAAATTTCCACAAAATCAACACACAATTTCAACCACCAAGTAGAAAGGATACATTCAATGCTTTGCTGAGAACTGTTGAGCTTGGAAAGTTTCTCAGTCAATGACTTCTCATCAAAACTCTCATCACCCATTAGGTTGTTTGAAATGAATCTGTGTAGGATTGCCTGCAGCAGTGCATGAAATATTAGAACCTAAAAAGGTGGGAAATGGAAGTTCGTTTTGTATGGACTTCTAGATAAGACGATTAATTACAAAGGCAAGACAGGAGTGAAGAGAGGAAGCACGTAGCAGCATAGAAATCATAGTATACAATGAAAATATAATGATGGAAGATAAAACATAAACCAAAATACTCTCTGGAGCTAAATTGGAATCCAATATAAGAAAGATTAAAAACTAAGACTTATGTCTAAAGCTATATCCTTCACATTTAACACTAGTTTCCATTCACACTTAGACAAGGCTAAAAGTTCATAAAAGTTATCAGTCCAACCACAGAAATGAAATGATCTACTTTCCCAGCCCAATCACATTATTAATAAATTGTTCCCTGTATGAGATACAAGGTGTGTTTGTTTGGGGGATTTTGAAAGATTTCTACTATTCATCTAAAATATCCCCAAAAAACAGCAAATCAAACATCTATTATTTTAGTTTTTATATTATACAAAAAATTAATTTTACATTCAAAACATTATATAACACCTATTTATGTCACATCAAAAAACTAATTCAATTCAACATTTTACTATTCAAAACCCAAACTCAAAATTCAAACTACCAAACAAACATGTTTAGGTCCAATGACACTTTTAAGGAGGTTTTAAGCACCCAATTGGATACAAAATGACCACTCTAATAGACTCCAAAGTTTTTGAGATAAAATTATATGATTCACATGATTTTCAGGAGCAAAACATCTTTCTTAAAGTTGTCAGCCATTTTTTTTCATGCCCAATTTTAGATTATAGGGGTGTGCTCACTTGTGTGTTCATCTCCATTTCCTATTTCCTATTTTCCCTCTATGCAGTTGAAATTATTTTTCTGCCCAAGAGCATCAAATCCACAACCTATGTTCCATTCAAAAGAATAATATAATAATTCCAAAAAATGAATCCAAAACATAAGTAAACTCACCCTTAGTATTTCATAGACAATTAATTCAGACCTCCAACCTAAGAAAATACAGTTAATCAAAACATAAAAGGAATAAACACACAGGATACGAATCAACTGTGTAAGTGCTTCAAAATTCTATGGTTTAAGAAACCGAGCAACCAAAACGTATTAAATACTTCATTCAAATGAACCTTCACAGCACAAACACATAAGAACCCCCCCCCCCCCCCCCCCTCTCTTCCAAAAATAATAATAATAATAATAATAATAATAATAATAACGACCTCAATCAGACCCTCCACTGAAAACACTTCCATTAAGCGGGCTCAACGCAGAAACCCCACAAACAAAAATTAAAGAGTGGGAATCAAAAGAAACTACAAATTAATCAAAAGAAGAGAGCGATTCCATCTTACACTCACAAATAAGCCTGAGTAGAGCAACGGAATCGAAGAACCCAGAGAATCTAGGGTTGAAAACGAGACGCTGTGATCTTACTTCGAGTTGAGAAAAATAAATAATTGGAAGAGACACGAAAAACCCTCAGTTTGAGTTGGGTTGTTCTTGTTCAAGTAATTCAGAGGCGGAAAACACTGTTGGATTCCGGGTGGCAATCGAATATTATAAATCTAAGATGGGCAATAAAGATATGTCCAATAAGTATAGGGACCCTTTCGAAATATCTGAACAATTCGTGTTTGTCTGGGTATTTGATTTTGGATTTGGATGTTTATTAGTAAAACTTTTAAATTTAATAATGATACCATGTGATATATTAATTTGATATTTTGCATATAATTAATTTTTATTATAGTAATATAAAAAATAGTATTTAATTTGATATTTTTTAAAAAAAAATAATATAGTAAAAATTTATAGAAATCTACTGAACAAACACAACTATTTTGGAGGAATTATTTCTATAAAGTGGGAATCCATAGTTCCACGAGTGCACTCTAGATCTAACAAGACAAATCGAACTAGACTAATCATATATTACAGATGACCCATTTTGGAGGAATTTTAAGTTATTTAAGTCTCGATTTAGTTTTACATTCATAAAGAAAATTTTTTGTAAAACTATTAAATTAAATTGATGTCTCCTTAATTTCTTCACACTTTCTATTTCACTCTGTTATATTTTCCTTTTTTTAAAAAATTATATAATCATATCTAAACCACCGTGTCTAAACTAAAGTAAACAAATTGTCAAACTATTGTAGATCAAGCCATGAAATATTCTTCGTTTGAGGTATGAGTCTCAGATTCGATCATAAGTGAATGCGTGTGTTAAAAAAATAAAAAAAATTAAAATAAACAAATTAACTGGGACAAGAGGATACCATATTATAAATATCAACCAATTTTATTTATTTATTTTTTTTAATATGTATTTGAATTTTATCTTAATACTTTTAATCAATGAAATATATATAAAAAAAAATTGTAAGAACGAGGTATAACATATTCTCAAAAATTAATTTATATATAATAAATAAATAAAAAAACTATTTTACATTACATGTTTATATATGGTCATATAATATTATAATTATAATTTAATATATTTTTGTTTTAATTAAAAAATATATATATATAAATAAATTATTGTCCAACATAAATATATAAAATAAATTATGAAATATATTTTGGTAAAACAGAAAAAAATTAATCATGTCATGCAATCAAATAAAATAAACATATGCATAGCTTTACTCAATATTTTTGATATAATAAAATAAATATTATAATATTAATTAATATGTAATTATTTAATTTATTATAATACTATCTATTAAAGTAAACCCACCCTTGAAATGCTATGTCAAATATTTACTAATATAACATCGATAGCAATTTAAATTTTTATTATTTATAAACTTTAAATTCAAATTTATACACAAAGAAATAAATTAAAAATTAGGGTAAATTATTTAACTTTTGTTTTAGTATATTGCACATAATACTTTGTTTTATTTATTGCAATAAAGTTTTATATTAAATTAAATTATAAACAAAATATACTTTTATTAAAGGTGATATTTGATCATAAACACACTTAATTATACTAATTTTATACAAAAAAAAATTAAAATATATTAAATAATATTGTCTGAACAAAGAAATACCTAAGTAATATATCAATCATTTTTTTAGACTAATTGTTACATAATTTTTACAAAATTAATAATAATAATAATAAGTATTGATCAATTTATTTACCTGATATGGTGTTTTGTTTTTACATTAATTTAACACAAAGAGCTTTAAGTAATAATTATAACACAAGATGTATTATATATTTATACTAAAATATAATGAGATAATATGCAATTTATCCTAAAAGTTAATAAAGAATATAATATATTTTACTTAAAATAAATTATGCATTTTAAGAGTATTTTAAACGGACAATTGGATAAAATTGCATATTCCTCTTTTGACATTTAAGTTCAGTCTCCACTGACACTTTACACGTAATCTGCACTTTTTACTTTTTAAATTTATATTAGTATTAACTCTCTGCCATAATCTCAATTACAATATTACCCTCATCTTTCCTAATGTTATTTTTATTCAAAGGAATTTCCGTTAAATCCTCAGTCTTCTGTTTCATTTGTGTGTGATCCATACCGATTTTGAATCCATATTTCAATTGTTAAGTTTATTTCGCCTAAAAAAAAACACAAGTAAGGCGAATTTCAATTTTGAATGCTCCTTTATTGTGCTAATTTTGTTGGTTGATTACAGTTGTGTTGTTAGGGCTCACGACCGATCCTACCCACAAAGATAGAAACTCAGGTATGATCGATCATTTTACTATTATTTGACATTATAAGTAACCGCGATAAGTGAAAATGATTTGTATGATCGATCTATGTTTTCGATTGGTTCTTGGAGATATTTCATTTTATTTTAGATATTGACAAAATGTAAAGCTTTTTGTTAGTATGAAATTATAAGTTTAAGTTTTGAAAAAATATCATTTAGGTTTAACTTTTTGGATAGATTTCTATTATAGAGCATCATTATTGTTTGGATGTCATGTATGTGATCTATATTCTGAGGTACTGAAAAAATAAATATTTATTGCTGATATGTATTGATATAGAATAGTTATATAAAGAATTTTGATGATTGTAATTTGTATGTCAATAGTATTGATTTTGTAATTCCGTTGAAAAGAAGTTGAAGAATTATACTTTGTGTTTGGTGAATTAACAACCTTCAATGGATAAAGAGGAGTGTGGTCCCAAATTATTATTCATACGTACATATGAAGGGGAGCTTCACGTAGTCGAGTTAGAAGAGAATACATTGCTCGCAGATCTTTACGGTAATTTATCGAAATGATGGAACGTAGTTACCATTGAAATTGTAAAACTTTAATTTATAACACCAATTCAAAATAATTACTTTATGCTGTTGTACAACAATGATGTATCAAATGTGCATATGTCTATATATAATTTTTTCGATGAATATTACAGCATTGAATGCTACAATAAAACTTATGAAGAACCCAATAACCTGGTGCCGACTCATGATATGAATATGATGCAGAACAACTCGTAGGTAGAGATAATTCCTTTTACAACATCTGTCTAACCGGGTTGGCAAAAGAAAAGATGGTTTGAATCACAACAGGTGAAACCATAAAAAAGATGTGGTTATTGTGGTCATCTAGGATATAACCGACGAAGTTGCAAGAAGCTTTTCTCTTATTATATAGTTGTATAAAATATGCCAGGGATAACAACTATTAACAACGACAGTACACTAGATATAGACCTTGGATCATTAAATTCAACGTAATGCCTAAGGTGATTTATGTCCCCTAAGTGCTTCGTACTGTGTCACATGGCCCACAGCGTGTTCCCATAATTTATCTCAAATTATATTAACAATGAATCGTCTTTAGGTATTAATTGTATTCTATGAAGCTGTTACAATGACTATACGAGTATTTTGTGACGTTTAAGAAATATATCTATTAATATAGGGGGTACACATAATACGAGTAAGTGGGTGCATCTTTTTCAATTGAAGTATTTATATTCGTGTGCAAGTATTATTGATGTAAACACGTGTATTCAAATAACATGCCATAATTTTTCAATAATTGTAACTGGATCAAACAACTACGATAGGATTACATCATACCTATTTTTTGGACAGTTAGTGTGCAATAAGGGATAATTCCAAGCTGATATACAAAAGAATCTATATTTATACATTCAATGATGGGAGACGAATGTCACATATGATAGATATGAAGTAATATATGTTAAGGTACTAATGGATCTAAATGAAGTCAGTGCATAACTAATGACGTAATATATTCTTTGTATTGTGAATATTCATCCAAGCATTCCTGAGAGTGAGAAGAAATGTCCTACAAGAGTAATGGAGTAGAAAGGGATAGAAAGTATTAATTGTAAGACATATTGGACTTTTCCACATTGTAGGAAATGTTTTAGTCATTGATGGTTTTATGTCATCGGTCCAACGGTGCTTTCAGAACAATTTGGCGAGTACACCGGTCCTTTCAGAATAATTTGATAAGTACACAACTTCTAAACATACGTCAAATATATTTAATGTTACTTAGAGATCATATTCCTTTGTACGAATATATTTTATTAGTTCAGAGGTATATAAATTAGTATATGAAGGTACAAATATCATCACTACTGGTATATGGCTTGTGCTTAGGGGTTTGTTGACACATAATCATGGAATTTTGCCACCTAGAGTATATTATCTACTTATGTAAGTACCTGTTCCCCCCCTACTCATCTGTGCACGTGATTTGGGTGTCGGAGTTACAGACTGATGTATATATTAGAAAGTTTGTATCACCTATCATATATATAAACGTATACATGACCAAAATATAAGTACATATAAACAAGCTCTTAAAATATCATATGTTAGTTCAAAATAATTTGTGTTTAGCACAATCTATGTTAAACTATAACATTAATGGATAAGTACCCCTATTTGGCCACAAAGTATATAATCTGAAAAAGTCATCGATAGCCACAACGTCATTTTGAACAGCCATAGTTTCTTTCAACTTCACAAAAATCTCAATCCTGGATACGGACCTCATCTCCCCCCCGAACAATCTCGAAAATCTTTCACATAATGCAACGATATTCTCAGCACATACACACCTTTTGAGTGTAAACCAAGAACTACAAAAAATTCTTTAGCGAAAATTTTATTCCACTTTCATCGCTAATTTTAAATGACTGGGATTCGATGTCAAACATGTTCATAATCGTTCACAACCGATGTCAAGGTAGCTTTATTTTCGAAAAATCTAAAAAATACCTAAACGGCATGAATTGTAGAGCTTTCAACCATTTGTCGTTCATCCCAACTTTAAGTTCATGAATGTTTGTATATAAAAAAAAGGTATAGAAAATTTGGAGGTAAGCCTTTGTATTTTTTTTTTCAGGTCTATCATCATTTCAAAACAAAAATGTCTTTATGAGTACATCCAACACAAATACAAATTTATGACATAACTATGAAGGTAAATAATCTTCTAATTGAAGCATATGAATTAACAATCAAGCACACCAAAGATAATGGGAGACACTCGCAAAAAATATAAAGAAAAAATATAACATCAGTGAAGAAAGTTCCTACAGGAGGCTCAACGGCAACTATTTCGACGGGGGGCTTTGATGGCTTCGAATGATTTAGAAGAAATATAATATCAACGACTCAAGAAGGTGGGTTCTACTAGGGTTTTATTTTGTTTTTTAGTTTAAATTTCTGAAACTTATTTCTATACATAAATAAAAAAATTCCAGGTATATAACTCTGATAGATAGTTGGTGTACAAAATTGGATAATATAAGTTTATAGAATAATAACGAAAGTATATATAATATTCGTTATATTATATGGTAATTTCAAGGATAAAATTGGTATTATGATTTCAAGTCTAAATAAAAATAAAAAGTAGGTAGTACATTACAAGTGCAATATAAGGAGAGACTGAACCAAAATATTTTTAAGGTAATTGGGATTTAAATCCAGTGCTCCTATTTTAAAAGTTTCCATTCAATAAAATATATTTTAATATGAATATTTATAAATATAAGGTTTGTTCACCCAATATATGATACAAATCTCGATGAATATTAATAAAAAAGTAATATATATTTATATAATATAAATAATATTTTTTTTTACAAAAAATAATTTTTTGATGTAATTATTTCCTCCGTCCCAGCTAATTTGTCTTCTTTAGTTTAGGTACAAAGTTTTAGGTATTATGTAATTAGTAAGTAATTAATAAGTGTATTAGTGAAAATAATTATAATTTAATAAAAATAATTATAGATTAAGATTAAGATGACTAAATAATTTAATTAACATTTAAAAAATTATAAATTATGAATTTTAAAATATGATTAAAGTACATAATTATATATTTTTTTAAAAAAAATACAATTTATATGAGACGGATAAAAATAAAAAGTAAGTATAACAAAGAAAATATTTTTTATATTATTATATAAATTTGCATGCCTTAAAATTAAAAAACACAAAAGAAAGAAAAAACCTGTTTCTATATTTTGAAATTTTCAAAATATTAAGGGCATCTTTGCCTGGCCTTCTCAACCCATTTATTTTACAATGAGCTTTTGTTTGATTTTGATTGAAATACTATTTTAATTTGATATTATTTTGGTGAATTAGCTATTCGTTTGTCTTTTGGCGTATCGAATTTTGAAAATTAATATTATATATATATATATATATATGTAGTATAAATTAAAAATAAAAATATCTTTATTAGTGTTTTAGAATACAAATGCAATGATATTTGTATAAAATATTATTTAAATATAATAATATTTTTAATGTTAAATACAATAACCTAAAAAATAAATATATACTTTGTTAAGAGACGGAAAAAGTATCTTATATATAAAAAAAACAATAATATTTTCCATGTCGACTAGTAAATTTTTTATTTGACTTTAGCATTCAAATAAATTAGTATTTTATATTTTTTTGACTTTTGCATTCAGATAAATTAGTTTATAGATATGTAGTGATAAAATAATATAATATCTATTTTACAAGTAATGTGAAAAAAAAAAAAGAATATTTTGATATTTAACTAACAGTTATTTTAAAAAATAATACTAATAATAAAAAGTGTTTTTTTATGAACTAAAATGACAAATAAAAAATTTACTATAGAGAAAAAATATTTTTATTGATAATAGAAAAGACTAAATAGCGTTAATTTGTGTTAAGAAATACAAACCAATCACACAACGTGCATCTCACATGTTATTTGGTCATGTTTAATTTATGCTATTTCTATTTAAATTTTTTATTTAAATTTTGATTTAAATGATATTTTAAAGTAATATGTTTGAAAATAAATAATATATTGTATTCATTAAAAATAATATAAACTGAATAATAAAAAATGGGTGCGTTTGTTTTTTTGAAATAGTTAAAAAGAAAATTATTGAAAATATAAAAATATAGTGTATTAATTTTTGGAATAGTATATTCGAGAAAAAAAAGATAAACTTTAAGGTGTGTTTGTTTGGAGGATTGGATTAGATTTCTACTCTTCATCTCAATTTTTTCTCCAAAAAATATCAAATCAAACACCTATTTTTTATTTTTTTATATTATATTAAAAATCAATTTTACATTCAAAACATCACATCAACACCTATTTATATCACATCATACAACTATTCAAATTCAAAATTTTTAATATTAAAATCCCAACTCAAAATCCAAAACCCCCCAAACAAACACACTAGAACACATAAATAACTTGAACTACAAACCAAATACAGTAAAATTATTCATATCAAAATCATTTAATATACTTTTTAGGATTTCTCAAAATACGACTCAATTGCAATTTTATATATATATATATATGTGTGTGTGTGTTTCTCTTAAGTAGAATAAATATATTTATATATATATCAATTTTTATTTTATTTTATTTTATTTTATTTTTTGGTGTTAAGTGTTTTTCTTATAGGTATTAAAATTAAACCAAACAGATTGACTGCAGGTCTATTTGATATCATGATTTTGCACGAAGAAATCAAACACATACATACTAGTATTAATTTTGATTTCATGTACCAGAGATAATCAATGTATTTATAATTTTTATCATAAATAGCAATCGGAACATGTATAAATATAAATAATACTTAAATGAGCTACTATAATTTTTCAAACGTGCCCAAGAAAGGAGCATTAGCATTTTGATCACTGCAGTACAGGCACGGATGCTGTTTGACAAAATGCCGCTGAGCCAGAACTTCTCTAGCCATCACCACCACTTCCCGGTTGCTCATCCGCCCCGCCGCCTCCGGCAGCCTCGCCTTCAGCACCGTCAGCACCGCATTGCTGAACGCTCCGCACGCCTTCATAATCCCGTTTTCGCCGGCCTCCTCGACATCGGCAGAGGTTTCGTCGGTCTGGCACCCGCTGAGTAGTATCCCTTCGTCCGGCCCAAGCCGCCGACCGGTGGGCTCGTGGAATGCCAGGCTGGCGTCCGACCCGAAAAGCTCGAGCAAGTGTGCGCCGATGTCCGTGCAGCTGCGCTTGCTCGTTATAGATGTCAATTGTTCGAGTATTGATTCGGATGGGATGTGTTTCGGCTTGGGGGCGGGGGAATCGACGGTTTTTGCCCCGTTGTCAAGCGGGTTGGATGGGCCGATCTGCTCGGTTTCCTTGTCGATAAGTCCTCCGCTGTGGCATGAGTCCGAGAGGATCGTGAACGTCGCGCCCTTAGGCACGCGGTTGACGAGCTCCCTAAAGTCGACGCCTGTGAAAGAAAATTTTTGTTAATATCTTGATTTAATATAATGTTATCGATGTAAATAAGTCTAAATACAAAAGTATACTTAATGTAGCTACTAAATATTACTATTCCGTACTATGTTGACAACATATTCAATATTTGTAGACAACACATATATCATAAATTAGTAGTACATAGTTTATAAATAATACGCTTCCGTCCGGTTTAAAGGTTTTATTTATTTTTCGCGTGATTGTACTTTTTGTCATTTTTTCTTAATTTGTACTATGTTTTCATATTAATATTCAAATATGAACATGCAAAAAGTAAATAAGAATCTTAGAGTCGGACGGAAGTACTACTATAATACAAAACAAATGAATTAACAGTATTTTTTCATGAAATGTACACATAATAAATTCGTGTATGAATTCTGAATCCTACTTTTATTTGCCTTGATTTAGCTACGTAGCAATTCGTATGTATTATGTAGCCTTTCTGTTGTCTATAAACAAGGCCTAATCAATAAATAAAACTTACATCCCCAAAATCTTCTCTCTATCGGGCCTTACTCCACTCACTCTCTCACTGCATTTATTACTCACATAGCGAAAACACATATTACATATATATATATACATTACTACCTAAAACACACACAGTACATACATATATATATATATAACATTACATACACAAGCCACACACTTATATCGATATATATATATTTACATACACAATATATATAATATTATATATAAAATATAAAATAGTAGTTAGCGATAGAAGTAATTAATATTTCTGTTAGTAATTCTATAATAATATCACAACACATTTGACAATATACTACTATTGATAAATACATAAAAAAAATATAAAATATAATTGTCAACACATGCTTTGCTTTCAAGTAAGATAGCATGTAATGTGTAAGTTGAAAATATGTACTAATTAGACTTAGGCCCGTTTGGAAAACAGAAGCAGTTCGATTTTGTATTTGGATAAATCATTATAAAAACAGTTTTTCGTAAAAAATTGTTTCGACGTTATATAATTGAAAGTGCTTTTAAACTGTTAAAATTACTTAAAAGGACATGCGGTTAATATAATACTAGTATTTTTCTATAACACTTTTATAATTTAATTTAAATTTTATAAATTATATTTAAAGATTTTAAATTAAAGTATAAAAAATTTACTTTTAAATTTTGATTATTTATATTTTAAAATTTTAATTTAAGGATAATATATCAATTAAACATAAAATTACAGTATAATATTATATAATTTGTATTTTATAATTTATTTTAAAATTTTATAAATTATATCTAGTAATTTAAGTATAATTAAAAATTTTATATACTCCTATTTACATTCGGTATTTAAATTTTAAATTTTAATCCAAATATAGTACATAAATTAAAAATAATAAATTAATTATATTTTTTAATTTGTATTAAAATATATTATATAAGTTATTTATTTTTATATTATATTATATTATTGTATTTATTATTATTAAGGATAAAACAGTAATTTTAACTGAAAAGTACTTCTACTTATTTTCTACCAGAAGCCAATCCAAACTGGCCGGCACTTCAATCCCTCCCGCTTGATATATATATATATATATATAGATGTATAGTAACTCTATTTGGATGATAAAATAAATAAATAAATAACAAAATGAATATCTTTCAAACTAACAGTAACTTTTTAATAAAACTATTGATTTGCATAGCGGATCGAATTTTATCACCGGCCAACTTACTTGTAATGAGATTGAGATCGCACGGAACGATCGCTTCCTCCTTCCCAAACAAATTGTGACGAGAATTGATCAAAGTCCCGTGGCCTGAGTAGTGAAAGAACAACACGTCGCCATGTTCAGCCCGGTTGACCATCTTGTCGAGCGCCTTCTTGATGTTGGTGCCCGTGGGCATGATGGGGCTACCGGGCTTGTCCACAAGGAGCTCGACGCAGCTGTGATCAAACCCAAAGCGACCAATGAGCACGTCGCGCATGGCAAGAACGTCGTTGTGGCAGCCGCGGAGCTCGTGAGGCGTGCCCGGGTAGTTGCAGCCCACAAGAAGAGCCATTTTCTTGCCGCCTCTGTCCATGGACGTATCGAAAATTCTTACCTGCAAGAAACAAGATCAGATGAAATGAATGTTATGTGTGTAGTTTTGTTGTCTGGAAATGAACAAGGGATTTGTTGATGGAAATAATTGTAATAGTTATTATTATTATGTGATTTATGGTTCTATTTATTTATGTCACAAATTTTTTCTGGTAAGAAGTTGGGGTTGCGTTCAAGTGACATATTTCAGATATATTTGAAGTTTATTGCGTCAAGTTTGGTGATACAAATGATCATCTTTTATTTATTTCTTAATAATAATAATAATAATTATTATTATACACACTCCACAAATCTTTCATGACCTAAGCTCCGTTTTGGACAATTGTGAGGGGAATTTTTGAGTTAATATAAAACAATATTTGCTTTGGAATGGACAATAAAAGCCTTTTAAGCAACAATCTATCTTTGGAAATAACTTGAAAGCTATACTAATTACAGTTTGGTGTGGTTTCAGCAACTGATAATTTATTTATTTTTCTATTTTTATTAAATTAGTATTATATAATACATTTAAATTAAACAAGATTAATTTAATAATAATTGAAATATAAATATAATAATCCTGTTCCTTTACTAGTTTTTTTTAATTGTATGAAAAATATGCAACATATTGAATGTTCTTGCCACCAACTCGAAACAAGCTTTTATACCATGTAAAAGTGTCCAAACTTTTCCTTCACACTATCTGAGTTTTGTTTTTTCAAACAACTCTATCGATTCCCAAATAAAAATGTAGTATTATTTTTTCTTATAAAACATTACATTTAATCATTATTTACCAAAATTCAAACCCGAAAGCCAAACTAGACACCTCGATCCCTCTTTCTCAACCCAATACTCATCAAAGAGAACCATACTCGAGATTTAAAACAACAGGGAAAAAGAATTAGTCCATAAGTTCAAACTAAAGCAAGAAACGTAATCCTTGATAATCGAAGCCCATTGATCTACAAATTGTACCGTATTTAACCAACCAACAACAGCATCAGCCTACTATCAATTTACTCTCAATCATGCACGCTATGCAATATTCTCCACAACAAAATTCGTTTGAAGAAAATTGTAAACATCATGTAACAATGTTGCCTTCAAAAGTTGATATTCAATTAGCTCAACAAGCATGTGCTCTAAGAAACTAAACCAATTCACCAATCCTATAATAATGCTTCAACCTTACCAAAACAGGGGAACTAAAGAGATCGCCCAATCATATGGTAAAATTCATGACATCATTCATATCTATCTATATATTAAAGGAGAAAAGAATCATCAAGTACCTCGACATATCCATGTTACCAATAATCATTACAGCTACACGAACCTTCTCTAAAATGGTGGTATCTCTTGTTATCTCGCATTATAATTTCTCGGCCGGTTAGCTTTGAGATGAGCTTAAATACATTGTGGCAATCATTGCAAACACGGAGGTTCTTGATTATGCGCATAGGGTTCCGAGCTGCAGTGGTCAAGAAAACATGAGCAGCCGCGAGCCTCTCACTATGACTCATAATCGCTTCTTCTTTCATCTCTTCATCGATGTCATGGAGAACAAATTTGGTCTGGGGTACATAACCCACCTCTTTCAACTGCTGCTTCAATCCCCAAAGCAATTCGTATATCCTTTCGGAATTCGAGTGGCTTCGGTCCCCTGCTCGGTACTCATGGACACCCCTCATTGCGCGCCCGCCATTGTCGCCGCTTAACTTCTTTTCTTTCTCCCGTGCAATATCAGAGGGATTTACTGCTATGAGGCCGGCCCTCGACTGCTCATCAACATGTGAGGCATCCAAACACTCGATGAGCTCCAAACATCGGTCCCCAAGCTCTGTTTTTCCATGAATTCTACAAAACTTCATCAAGGTTTCCCAAATCTCTACGCCAGGTTCCACCGGCATCTTTTCAACGAACTCTAAAGCCTCGTCCAGACATCCAACACTTCCCATCATGCCTACTATACTAACATAGTGCTCCATAGTTGGAACGATGCCGTAATCGTTCTTCATGGACTCAAAGTGTAGCATCCCTTCAACAACATCACACACGACCGCGCAGGCAGAAAACACCCCGATAAACATCCGTCCATCCGGCTCCAATCCAGATGTTCTTTTAAACTCTGTAAATAATTCGATAGCAGCTTCCCCACAACCATTCTCGGCAAGCCCACATATCATAACATCCCACGACGTCAGATTCCGCTTCGGCATTTGATTAAATACTACAAGAGCATCCTCCATTGAACCACATTTTGAATACATCTCTAGAATCCGGTTATTCGTCCAGACTTCAAGACGCAACCCCGACCTTGAAAGGTGCTCGTGGACTGCTTTGGCTTCATCCAATGCCCACTTCTCTCCGCAGGACTTCATCAATGCCACATACTGAGACAGATCGATCTCGATACCCTCACTGCGGAGCCACTCCAAATGTTTCACCGCTTCCTTCAATTTCCCCACTGCAATTAGCTCATGTAACTCCTGCAATTCGCTTCTTGTTTGACTAGCTTCAACATCACTTAACACCGGGAAATGATGAGCTGTAACATTAGGCGTTTTTTCTCCATTTCGGTATCTCTCAGGTCCCCCGCCCAAGTTGCTGCCAACAAACGGAGCGTTGTGATTACCGGAATAAAAATTCAATGGATTCCCAGCCCTAACCCCAGTACCGCCATCAAAAGAGTCCGAATTCGCGTGCTGGCCGTAACCCCCACTCGAATTCGAATTCCAACCGTAAGGGTGCCTATCATTTGGGTTGTATGTACTGCTTTCCTCGTAAGAATCCGATCTTTCCGCGGCGGTCTCGAGATTTCTAACACAACCAGAAAGTGTAGGTGGAAATTGAGGGGGTTTTATTGTGCGGACGTTGAAAAGATGGTTGAAGTAGAGAGGAGCAGCTCTGGCTCTTCCGGCGTACATCGATTGGAGGTTTTAGGGTTAGGGTTAGGGCTTTGAAGGGTGAAGAAGAGAACCCAAATCACGAAGAGAAATCACCTCCAAAGCGTTTCTCATTTTATCTAAAGAATGGGCTAGTGCTAGTTTGGTATGTATTACTGCCTTTGATTAGTGATAAAGATTTAAAATATAGGTTGTGTTTTTCACATGAGCCTTTTGGATTGAATTGGAGTTTGTTTTTTTTTTTTTTTTTTTTAAATTTCGATGTTTTTTTGTATTTAGATTTGTTTTGGATATTTGGAGAGTTTTGATACGATTGATTTGACGAGTAATAAATATAATAATATAAATATGTATTAATTTGTATAATTTAATTATAAATTTATATTATATCTATATATATTTATAATTTTTTATTTATCAATATTATAAAATATTTTATTCTTTTCAAAATAATATATATATTATATATATCATTAAATTATATATATTTAAATTAATATTTATAATTTAAATAAATATAAAAAAATATGTCAAATTCTGTGCAACACAGAGCTGGTACGGGAAAGATGCGCTAAATTTGGGCGAATAGTGGCCATACATTAGTTTTGGACAAAACTACATTGAAGAAACACACCCATAGTTTATTAAATCAATAATAGGAGTAATAAATAGGTTCGATCGGGGTTTATCTAATGCATACTTTCGGATAGCGGTTGGTTCTCACGTTATAAAAAAATAAATAAATAAAATAATAATAGTAGTAATAAATTATGATATTATTTTAATTCTTTCCATCTTCGAACTTAAATTCCAAAAATAGGTATGCATTTTTTTTCGTAGATACTTTTATGATTATTAGTATAATATTGATATATAAATTAAAAGAAAATGAACAAAAATAATTTTACCAATATTACATGATATAGATACGATAATATTTATGTAATATAATATAAAATGTAAAATATTTTGAACTTTAGATAAATAGTATCGTTATTATTAATAAATAAATAAATACTTGTCAACTCTAAGTATATTTTTACCACTTTTGTCTATCCACCGATACAAAAATATTTTTTAACTTTTACTTTTATAAAATAAAAAAACAAAAATGTCAAATTTGTTACATTTCCGCTAACTAATAAAATATTATTATTTTTTAATGGTCTATAAATCTCTAAATGGAGATATCATAGACAAACTAAAATAAAAAATTAATAGTTTGTTTAGGACGGAATTAATATATACGTATATATGTATGATTTTAAAAGATTATAACATGTGTGTTCAAATATTTTTAACAATATATCTCAATAAAATATATATAATAAAATATCATTTTTTAGATAGATAATTTTTAATAATAAAAATAAATAAATAAAAATAAATTTAGTTATTTATAATTAACTTAAATTAATTTTTTTTTTAAAAAAATTAAATATAAATAAAATTATTTGTTTATAAAAAACATAAAAGAAAAGTGGTTTTAAGTAAATCTTTGTATTAAAATTTTAATTAAAATAATTTATATTTATTTAGTATATTTAAAATGAAAAATTTACTTAAAAAATAGTATTACATAACTATTATTTTTATATTAGAAAATTAATTTTTCTATAAATGTTTTTTTTCAAAACATAAAAGTTTATCTTTATTTAAGGCTTTAAAATTTCCAAACAAGGACGAAGAGATAATTAGCACGTAAAATAGCAAAAAAAAAGAAAAATCTCTATAGTTTCTTGGATTTATTGAAAATTTCATGGTCCTAAAATTACATAAAATTTACTTGTGATATAAAAAATATTGCACAAAACTTCTGTTGGATTTTATAGTCTTTTGGATCTATCATAATTTAAACACAATACACACTCACTAAGCAGCCCAAATAACACCTTGGCCCTGACCCACGTCTCAAGCCCACGACCCAAGCTCGAGCCCGCGACCCTGACTCGCTGGGGCTCCGCGTCCTTCTTCGACCTTGACCTGTTGGGGCACTGCGTTTTTCTTAGACAGTGCGTTGACCGTCCGATCTGGCGATTTGATCTTTGCCGTCCGATGTTGTTTGACCTAAGTATATATATGGAGTGAGAGAGGGGCGTATTCATTATTCACTCTCATACTTCCTCTCTCTAAAACTCGCCCTCTCTCTAGCCTTTCCCTCTCTCACTCTCACGTGTTTTTCCGGCGACTTTTCGGCGGTGCCTTCCTCCTACTTTTGTGTGGAGCTTCCATGACACGTTTACTCCCTGTTTTGTTGTTTGTAGTCGCAAGGGGCTCGTTCAACATGGTGAATGTGATGGCAAACTTTCCAAACCAAAGATATAACAAGACAAAACTACATTAATATTTATTACTACTACAATAACAATAGTTGGTTCCATTATATAAAAAAATGTACAGACAGACCAACAGAGATAGACACTGAATGAAAAGAACTAACTCAACGCCTCAAGGTTTAGCTCCAAATTCTCTTATCGACTCAACAACACAGTAAAACAAAACAAAAACACAAAATAAGAAAGCGTAGCGAAAACTAGCCAGTATGAATAATAATGATAATAATAATAATAATAATAATAATAATAATAAGAGTTGCGAACTAATCTTAATCCATACACACGAGCTCGCTCCCTTACTCACTCATTCACATGGGAGCCAAGCTCGTCCTTCGCAGTTGATCTCTGGCATAGAAGGTATGCTCGGCAACACCTTCTCCAACTCCTGCCCAATATACAAATATTTATTATAAAATATTTCAATTTCTGGAACCAATAACCATGAAATAAAATGAATCGGATCAAATAGAGAATTTCTTGAGGATGGGAAGCATCTTCTTTCAATCAATTATTTTTTCTTTTTTTTTTTCTTCTCAAAGAGCGATGCAACTAACAATAGAGTGAAATAAAAGGAGAGTGTGCTAGTCCAACAATGCGTGTAAAGTAAATAGTTGTAAAAATACTAATTGCATATCCGATCTGATTTATTTCCATTTTCAAATTTTATTTAGCGAACCAATGAGGGTATCGATTAGGAACATATGAAAAATTGGACACATAATGTCATATAGGCACAGTTGCAAACAATGGACAGTAAAACGACAAACATTCCTAACAAGGTATGACGAGTTAGCAAGCAAACAACAAATCAGATATTTTATTGACCGCTAAAACGGAAGCACATAAAGTGAGGCATAAAGAAAAAACAAAGCATAATTAGCTAAATACAAGTAGTTGAAATTATAAGCCAACAAAAAAGCACCCATAGAAAGCAAAAGTAAACAAGTAAGCGCATGAAATACGCTCGGACAAATTGTAAAACCACAAACAAAGTGATGATACACAAATATTATGCTGGAAAATAAAGAAAAAACCAAACCATAATTAGCTTAAATATAAGTACTTGAAATTAGAAGCCAACAAAAGAACCCATAGGAAAGTAAAGGTAAACAAATTAAGTAAGTGCACGAAATACGTCCGGAAAAATTTTAAAACCACAATCAAAGTGGTGATAACCAAGGATATGAGAAACATCTTTAGAATGTAAAGGCAAACAAATAAACACATGAAACACGACCGAAAAAATGTCTCAAAGCCGACGTGAATATCAACCATCCCAGCAAGGACAGAGTGGTCAAGGAGCATCACATCCTACCACATCAAGAAGCCTATCAAAGAGGACCATTTATGGTGATTCCGATGATAAATACACAAATATTATGTGGGAAAGAAGGGGAAAAACATAGCATATTTAGCTTAAATATAAGTACATAAAATTAAAAGCTCATAAATACACCTTTAGGATGAAAAGGCAAACAAATAAGTGCACGAGATACGCCCGGACAAATTTTGAAACTACAATCAAAGTGGTGATCACCAATGATAAATACACAAATATTATGTGGGAAAATAATGGAAAAACAGAATATAATTAGCTTAAATATAAGTACTTGAAATTAAAAGCCCACAAATACACCCATAGAATGGAAAGATAAACAAATACGCGCACAAAATACGCCTGAATTTTTTTTGAAACCACAAGCAAATTGATGATTACAAATGATAAATATTCAAATATTGTAGATCAGCACGAATGCAACAACGTTCATTATATGCCATAAAAAATGTAATGATAAAAAGCGTGAAATATATGAACAAAATAAGTTGATATATACACATGAGACCTCAAGCACGCAAAACACACCATATAAAGTAAAGATTAAAAAACAAGTGCACGAAACATGCCCACTTAATTTGTAATGATCATTACATAGACACTGCTATTAAACGAGTCGTAAAAAAAGTTTTTAAAGATTATAGAGATGAAATAGGCACTTGTAGTCTTTTAAGCCTTTCGTTCTCCTCCTCAAGATGTGAAACTTTGTTCTCCAACTCTGCTAACAAAAAGAAAAAACTTTGTTCTCCAACTCATTGGTGTAGGTCTGTGCATCACAAACAAAGAACATAAAGCTAATGGTTAGACGAAAAAACCAAAATATAACAAAAATCGAGTGGCATAAAAATTCACCTGCTTTCTTGTTTGTGATCTTGCAGCAGATTCTCAATTCTTGATCATCTTCTTCTGTCTCCTTTTAACAGTCTTTTTAGCAACTTTTTCGGAAGGAGGACCATTTTTCCGACCAGGTGATTGGGTGTCGGATAAAGCTCCCATCCGAGGGGAAGAAGACACTGCCATTTGGCTTTTCAAGTAAGCAGCATCCATGATCGGATTCCCACCTAGCGAAGTTGACTGTTGATGCAACGGATGGCCTGTAGAAAAAATATGCAGCATACTAAATTTTTGGACCTGTGGCAGCGTAAGAGTCGGGGGATTTGAATAACTAGTTGATCCACCCACTGCACCCGCCTTAACCACGGAATCTTCCAAGGTCATTGATAAATATATATTTTTATATATTTTCTAGAGATAAATTATAAGATTTAATCAATGTTTTGGATAGATTCATACTCATTTTGGCATGTATTGATTTGTTCAAGGGAAATGAGTTATTCACACCCAGCTATATTTTCGATTTTAGAATTTTGAAAAGAGTTGAATTAAGCTCCCATGCTAAGGAAATAGGTGGATTATAGGGATTAAAGCTTGATTGTTGGCACCATGATTAAGAATGAGCAATTAAAT